AGAAAGAAAGAAAAGGAGGAGGAGGAGGGGGAGGAGGAGGAGGAGGAAGAAGGAGAAAGAAGAAGAAGAAGGAGGAGGAGGAGGAGGAGGAGGAGGAAGAGGAGAAGGAGAAGGAGAAGGAAGGGAGGAAGAGGAAGAGGAAGAGAGAAGAGAGAAGAGAGAAGAAGGAGAAGAGGAGGAAGAGGGGGAGGAGGAGGAAGAAGAAAGAAAAAAAGAAGGAAGAAGGAGAGGAGAAGAAGAGGAGAAGGAGGAGAGGAAGGGGAAGAAGGAGAACAAACTGACAAATTGGCAGAATTCTAATTTTTTTTATTGTAGTAAAATATACAAGGCATAACATTTACAATTTTAACTATTTCTAAGTGTACAGTTCAGTGACATTAAGTACAATCACGTTGTGCAACCATCACCTTCATCCGTCTTCCACAGCTGAAACTCAGTATCCATCAAACAATAACTCCCCATTCTCCTTGCACCTCCACAGTCCCTGGTAACCAGGGACTTTACTTTGTCTTTACCTTGTCTTTACTTTGGCTATTCTAAGTCTCTCGTATAAGTTGAATCACACAATAGTTGTCCTTTTACATCTGGCTCCTTTCACTTAGCCTACTGTCCTCAAGGTTTATTCATGTAGCAGGTAGGCATGATTCTAATTTTGAACTGAGACAGACATCTCCACCTGGAAAGCAGTCCACCAACAATTTAATGTTGATTGTGAATAGAAATTGCTTGAATTTTTTCTACTGTGTGTCCTTCTATTCTTTCTGCTTTTTTCAGATTTTCTGTAATGAACATGAATTACCTCAATAGTAAAATAAAATCTTTAAGATCTTTAAAATAAATGCCCCCTTTTCCTTCTCTCTCTCTTCTTCATCCATGATATTGCTGTGTAATATTCCTTTCTGGGGTACCCCAGCTCCTGGATCTACCACTGCTCTATCAGGTTTCCCTTCTTCTATGAGATCAGCTGAGGATATTTCTACTACTATACTTTTAAAAATGTCAATTGTATTTTTGTTGACACTTAAGCAACTATTGATGCCAACATGGGGAATGTGGACTTTTAATGTATGTTTTAATTAAAAATTTAAAAATTGACACATATTGTATTTGTGTATCATGTACAGCATAATGTTTTGAAGTATATATATTATACATATTTAGTATCTATATATTATATAGATATAGTCATTCCACCATATATATATATAGGAATATATAGATTTAGTATCTATATATTATATAGATTTAGTATATGTATATTCCATTATATATATATGTATAGTGGAACGACTAAATCTATATAATATATAGATACTAAATATATATATTCCACTATATATAGAGTAATATATATATACTAAATATATTATATATATACTAAATATATTATATTTTTAGTATATGTATATTTATATATATTTTTATATATATATTCACTAATATATATATTTCTCTATATATATTATATATATTTAGTATATACATTCCACTATATAGAGAGTAATATATATACACTAAATATATATAATATATATATATATACAAAATATATATATTATATATATAATATATTTATAGTGTATATATATTACTCTCTCTACAATGGAATATATATACTAAATATATATAACATATAGATTTCAAAACTATATAGTGAAATGACTCTACATGACATATAGATACTAAATATATATATAATATATATACTTCAAAACATTATGCTGTACATGGTACACATGGCTGAATATTATCTCATTGTGATTATACTCTACTGCCTACCTGTTTGTTTTTCTTCTTCCTTTTCTAAATACCTATCAAGAGGGAAGTCTGAGCAGAAGGAAACTCAGGATGGCACACTCAAACTTTTTAAGGAATACAATGGCAGGTGGGTTTGCCCTAAAGCAGCTCCCAGCTTGACTTTCCCTTTGGCTTAGTGATTTGGGGGTCCCCAAATGTATTTTCCTTTCACAAAGCCAACCCCACCAGATTCTCCAAAGCAGGCAGCCCATTGATATCCATAAAAATCCACCTCCGGGTGTGCAGATCAAGTCAGAGGGGTGCGTTCTCTCTAACCCCTGGAGGAGGATGGAGAGGAGACTGGGTAGTTTGAGGGAAGTCGGGTCAGGTGTGGTAGGGGGTAAAGAAACCACACAGGATTGCGGGATCCATGCAGTCACCTGGAGCAGGCAGCATCTGGGAGATATTACCACTCTTGGGCAGACCCAAGAAGGGAGGGAGCTGTTACTACTGGAACCTAGAGAGGGCTGCCAGCCAGGGGCTTGTGCTCTGCAGTCTAGGGCCAATCTATAGGGAGATACAGGGAGGGACTCCAGGAAATAAATACTCTGGCCTCACCCCCTTTGATCCCTCTTGCCTCCTGTAAGGGCTTCCCATTGCTTGAAGCCAACTAGAAGGCAGAGGACAAGGCTTCCTGTTGGTTTTTGTCCATGAACCTGGACACAGAACAAGGGGAGGACAGATGGAGAACATCCCTGGAGGCCATCTGGAAGGTCTCCAGCATCATTTCTTGTGAAGCCGTAATGAGTTGAAAGAAAAATTAAAGAATGGGCTTAGCTGGAGTTGAGAGAAGCAAATGGGGTCAACTGCAAAAGCCCCACTAGCACCCAAGTGCTCAGCTAGTGCTCAGCTCAAGCCCACCAGCACCCAAGCATCCTGTCTGCAGGCACTC